AGACTACTGTAATGTGGCTAAAATGCAGCTTTGTGGCATGAAGGGTAGGACAGGTGAGCACTCTGTGGAGATGAAATCAATTTGACCATTTAGTCCATTTCCACTTAAATTAGATCAGCCTTCAAGCTCTTTCATCTTCTGGTTTCTCGTCTACCAACATGCATCCAGAAACTCCCATCTATCATCTGGACTACAGGATATTTATAGCGGTTTTCCCCAGGCTATAGGTGTCACTGCATTAATTAGTCTCAGTGTAGATGTTTGCCTTATTGTGCTGATTGCAAGACAATGACAAGGGAGGTTAGGTGAGTCTAAGGCTACGTCCACACGTACACGGATATTTTTGAAAACGCAGATGTTTCCATGTGTTTGCACCTTTCGTCCACACGTAAACGGTGTTTTCGGTCAGTGAAAACAGATTTTTACAAACTCCTGCCAGGGTGGAAATTTTCAAAAACTCAGTTTTTGCGTTTATGTGTCAACCAGGAAAACGGAGAAAACGCAGTGTCAAAGGTGTGCGGCTTTTTTGACGTCACAAGGGCAGATTTACAGAAAATACTGTTAATTTTACTCTCTGCAGTGTTTAAATGCTTACATATACACATAAAGCTACTGTCCCTCCACAGATAGGACTCAGTTCTGCTTCTATGCACCATCTTTGTTTACTCTTTCCCACTGAGGCTTCTAGACTTCTGATTGGCCGACATTTCTACGCGGTTATATATCACCAACTGTTGCTTTGGCATGTTCCTGGCAGCGTTTTCCTTCATGGGATTGGGCGTGGGATTTAAAAAATTGAAAAAAATGAAAATGGAAAAAATCTCTGTTATCAAAAATACCCGTGTACCACTAGCCTGGATAGATTTGAAAAAGGTGTTTTTGTCGGAAAACGCTCCGCATCCACACTAGCGTTTTCAGTCATTTTCACAGAGTCCACATTGAAACGGGCAAAAATGCCTACATTCCAGTACTGCGCATGCGTGCCGTTTATTTACTTTCCGGCTCTTTGAAACGTCGGGGCAAAATGTTGATGAAAAGCAAAAAAATATTTTTTTTAAATGGTCTAACACTGAGGGGGAGTTGTTTCTACGAGTAACACAAAAGTACAAAATTGCAAAAGCGAGTGAGAATTAAAGAATTTGAAGAAAAGCTATCTGGAGCATGTACAAACTGTTATTAATCTTTGATAGGGCAAAATTGAGAGCAAACAAAACAACTGCTGTATAATAACCTCCGCTATCTTACTTTAATTGGTCACATGACTGCATCACATGACTAATATGCGTCATCGTTATAGAAAGTCTCAGTTTTTATTTTCCACACTGCGAAGTGAAAGCACAGCTTCAGTTTATCGCAGCTGTAGCAAAGAAGGCAATGCTGTTATTTCCCTGTGCACCTCTCTGATCTAAGGACCGCAAACACCACCTCTGCTACAGTCTGGAGATAAGAAATTAGCAGTGTAGTGTCCCTGCGTGCCTTTATTCTCACCTTCAACATGGAATTCCCCTGCTGGATAATCAATAATGCAGGATGCTTGTCCCTCCTCTCTCTCCTATTTCTCTCCAGAGAGGTGGTTTCCATCCTGTTCAGTAAGCCCATTCAATACAAGACTGCATGTGATCTGCGATCAATCTAAAGTAGCCCTTAGAAGCTGGAAGGCAGCCTCACGCCAAAGCCCCAGCTCCTCAGCTTTACATAGCCGTTTAAAGCAGATGTCCCTCGTCCTTTATATGCCCATTAATGCTGCTGAAAAGTCATTAGTCTGTGTACGGACAGGAGCGAGCCGGTCAGTGATAAAAGCTGTGTGTGTGTGTGTGTGAGAGGCTGGTGATCACAGGCACAGGGACCGACTCATTATGCGAAGAGAAAGAGAAAAAAAAAAAAAACAAGAAAAAATGAAAAGAAAGCACAGCTTTCAAATGTATGCGTTTTTGAGAGGTTTCTAAAATGCTGCGTTTTACATCAGCGAAAATGCCGTCTCATTGTGGACGAGAGGCCAAAACAGAGAGAAAGCGATGCGTTTTCAAACGAAAATCCAGCAACGTAGCCTAAGTCCTCCAGGTTTCTAGAGATGTGTTACATCATAAATAAATCTGGGTGTAGTCATAGCACAGTTTGTCTACTGCCGGCTTTAAGGACCACTTCTGAAAACTGCATTGAAACGCTGGTGTTTACACGACTTCTGCTGTTATAAATAATGAGCTCTTTGGTTATTGTAAAAAGTGGCACAAACAGCACTGTTTTAACCCTCTGAGGGTTAAAGCCTTCTACTGAAGGTTAGTAGTGCCTTCTACTAAATCTAACCCTGTGCTATGGAAATAGGAGATTCTGGCTTTTTGAAAAATGCTCCAAACTATAAAAAGGAGAAAAAACACAAAACAAAAACAGAAAATACACTTTGGCTTCAGCAGGAATAGAATTAAAGTTAGATGTGCTGAGGGTGGGTGTGCAGTTGCACTAAATGTGCTAGCAGCATTTTTCGCTTTAATGATAGCTGGAACAAACAGTTTTTTCCTCCTCATAGATTTCACTTACTGTAGCTCAGCAGCACCTTTATCTTCTCCTCATCCTGTCAATGATAACAGCTCTCATTTTGTTCAGTATCACTGAACTCTCAGTGTGAACAATGTGTAATATAACCTCTCTGCTCTGTGTTGGTTCCTCTTTCAGACCAGAAAATCATCACAGCTGAGTCAGGACAGAACGTCACTCTGACATGTCGAGCTCCAAACAACAACATCATAGGTGTGGAGTGGAACAGAGCTGACCTGAGAGATGAATATATACTTTCGTACAGAGACGAGCAGTTTGATCCAGATGGTCAGCATCCATCTTTTGAGAACCGGGTGGATCTGCAGGACAGACAGATGAAGAATGGAGACGTGTCTTTGATTCTGAAGGATGTGACGATTAATGACACTGGAACATACAAGTGTCGTGTCTTCAGTGGAGAGACAAGATCATGGGAGAGCATCAACACCGTCAGCCTGACTGTTCCAGGTGAGTGAGCAGAGTTGAGTGTGTGTGTGATCAGAGGTGAAGCTGCTTCCTGGTTGTTGATGTTTGTTT